CCAAGCTGAGCCAGGGGTCTCAGCGACTAAGATGTCGGGCTGTCCTTTTTCTGGGGCCGCCTGTCCCCAGTCAATGCGGGGGACGCAGGCAGCGATCAGGGGCTGCCCGGAGTTCTCCGGAGGCCGCACCTCATCCTGCAAGGCATCTCCGTGGAAAGTTTGCTGTCCAGAAAAGAAGGAACCCGCGCCTCCTCGGAGGAGTCCAGGCGCGGCCTCTGCAGCCCCACGGGTCTCCCGACGGCTGTGGGAGGGGGCAGCTCAGCCCCCAGCTGCTCCAGGTGGCAGCGGGTCTCGGCGGTCCCGGACAAGTGGGGTCTCCCAAGGCTTTTCCCGCGTGGCCCCGCTGGATCCGTCTCTTGGTTCCTCAGCTCTTCTCGGTCTCTGTCTCTGTCTTTCTCTTTCTGGGCTGTTGACAACCCCCACACCAGGAAGTCCTGCCTCCTCGGGCCTGCTCACTGCTCCTCCTCTCCTCCTCCTCCTCCTCCTTCCCCTCTTCCTCCCCTTCCTCCTCCCTCCTCCCTCCTGAGGCTCCCCGCCAGCTGGCCCCGAGCCAGGCCTGCCACAGCCGCCGATGTTGCAGTTGCTGCCGCTGCCGCGCGGCTGGGGCCCCAAACAGGCTGCCTTAACCCCACACCTGCTGGGCCCCAGCCGGGCTCTTTCTCGGAGGGAAGGGCTGGAGAGGGCGGAGAAAAGGGGGAGGAGTCTGCGGGGAGGCAGGGGATTCCCTTACTTGTAGGCACTGGCTGCCATTGGCCTGCAGACTGGCCAAAGAAGAGTTGAAAGAAAACTACCGGGCACGTCCTGGGTGCCTGGGTGCCTGGGTGCCCCTAAGTGCCCAGTCAACCTTGTGGTGCGCTTTGGCTATCACTGTCATAACGTCTCTGGTTTTCGTGGTAACTACATGAAAAGAGTCCAATTATTCCCTCCCCATACCTTTAAAATAGATGATTAAGAAAATTTTCAAACCTGTCTAAAAGCAGAGAAAAGAATATAAAGAGCTCCCAGGTACCCAATAATGATAAACTCAGCCAATCTTGTTCATACCTACCCTCAATATCTCTTCCTGGATTTTGCTGGAGTATTTGAAATCAAATCTCAGACATGATCTTGAGATGTGGAATTTGAGACCCAGGAAGTCCAAAACGGCTGTCAGTGGTAGAGAAACATTCTGCCTCTGTGTATTCTTGTCCAGGTGCCATATACAGATACTCACAAAGACCTTAGAAGCAGTGACCACCTGCACTGTCTCCAGCCCCTAGACATTATATATGTCTACATAGTCATCTGCAGAGGTCTACCCCAGCTGGCCACAAGCATGGACCCTCCCCACCTCTGACCTTCCTACCTCTCCCATCTCATCCCTTGTTCATTGTGAAAGAGAAGGCATGCACACTCAGAAAAGGTCTACTAGTAATAGAACAAACCAAAACTCCAACTACCAATTTCTCTCTCTTGGCTTCCCTAACCAACATTCCGAGGGGGGGGGCGGGATACTTTTAGCCAAAGCAGTATCTAGAGGCTGCGTCTGCTTTCACTTGCAGGATCAGAAGGAGATGAACAGATTCTAATTAATTTTTGTCACTTGGAAGGACCTGTTCTTGAGTATATTAAAATTTTCTCATATTGTCTTCTGAAGAAGAGAGATGAAGGGCTGGGGTTGTGGCTAAGTGGTAGAGCACTTGTCTGGCATGTGTGAGGCACTGGGTTTGATTCTCAGCACCGCATATAAATAAAGATCGACTGACAACTAAAAAGTATTAAAAAGAGAGAGCAGATGTGGAGCTCTAGCTGAGGAAACCAAGGCTCCTAAGTGCTCACGCATTTGACCAAGGCCTCAGGGCTAGTATTCAATGGAACCAGGAGGTATAAGGGGGCTGTCTGGACTCTCTAGTGCTGCTCTTTTCCAGATCCCTCCTCCCTCTGCTTTAGCTTATGAAAATTTCTGATCACTCTAAAAGGTAAAATAATGCAACCCCTGCCCGCTTTATATATTTGTTCTTTATATCTTTGTTTAAATGCATCTGCGTTGCTGTATGTCTCCCTTTGGCTGTAGTAACAGGGCCCTGCCATAGCCCAGGTACTGAGGTCCAGGAAGCAGCCTCCCACACGTGTTCTGCCCCTCCAGACCTCATCCTTCTCTCCCCTGCAGAACCCTCTCCCCTCTGACAACATTCTGAACACAGACTTTACTGCTAAACCTCCAGAACCTCCTTTTTTGGTGCTGACTCCTACAAACTATTCACAAGGAATCTTTGGACCCCTTCTCTGCCTCGGACATTTGGCATCATTGTGGACTTTTCCATGTGGAGGGTCCCTGGGATACTGTCAATCTCTGCAGAAATGTTTGTTGAATGAATATAAATTAATTCCCATTAAGGTGTAAAAGTTAAAGGACTCTTGTGTTTTAATGTATTACCTCTCCTAGGAGCATTTAATAGCCTTTAATATGTAGGGCCCTCGACTTACAAAGCACTTCCAGCTCCCTTTCTTCCTCCAAACCTTGTTGAGTTAGGTATGAGATGAGGCATCTTTCAGATAGGTTATCCAATTTGCCTAACGCCACAAAGCACATCTGCAAAGACTGCCATATGGAAAACGGTCCACAGATTCCGGGGATTAGTACATGTATATATTTTGGGGCGCATTTTTCAGCCAGCTAAGAGTAAAACCGAGATCACCTTGAAGCTAATTAACCCTATGGCAAAGCTGTACTCCAAAGGAATTTTGGAGCGAGGGATTTCTCAGGGAACTGCTGAGAAAGGTCACCAAAGGAGGGCTAGGTCATGCCCCTCAAAGACCCCTGCGACTGCACCCAGGCGGTGGCTACGGTGGTCCCAGTAAGAGACCAACCAGGTCCTGCACCCAGGTCCTGGCGGGCGGAGCCCGCAGAGTCAAAGGTTACGGGGAGGATGACTTGGATCGCGGGGGCGGATAGGCGGAAGACTTTGAGCCCAGACGCTGGAACAAGGTCCGGGCGCCTGGGAGGCTGCAGGGGGAGGAGGCCGACACCAAGTCAGCCAACTCTCGCTCCCTCCCGGCACCTGGGGGCGGCGGGGAAGAGGGGGCGCGGCCAAGGGAGCACGCCCCCTGCTGGGCAAAGTGGCCGAGTGTCCGGCTCCTGACTGGAATCCCCTGGTCCGGAAGGCAGCCCCCTCTGCCGGCCTCACTGCCTCACTGCACCCCGGGCCCGTAGCCGCAGCCTCGGCCCCAGACAGACGCCGGGCGCGGAGCGCGGAGCGCCCGGCGCGCGGGGTTCGCGGGTGGGTGCAGGACCTGGGCTGCCGCTGGGGGGCGCCGCTAAGCGCCGCGCGTCGCTCGGCCGGGGCCGAGGAGACCAAACCCAGCACCGCCCGGCCGGGCAGGGGGCGCTGGGCGGCGAGGAGCGGACGCCCCTTGGCGGGGCGGGCTGGCACTGGACCCCCTGCGTCCCACGACCTTCCTCTGAGCCGCCCCCGCAGGCTCCGCGGTCCCCGTGCCCCCCCACCCTAGCCCGGCGGTGCAGCGCAGCGCGACCGCTCCCGCTCCGTCCTTGGAGGGTGTGGAAGGGTGGGTTTGGGGCCGGGGGCGGGTCTGGGGGCGGACCCGGAGGCGGGGCTGTCTCTGCGGCAGGGCCCAGCTCTGCTCCCCCCCGGTCTCTCTGTCTCTCCTCCTCCCTCCTCCTGCTCCGGGCGGAGCCCGGCATGGGGGGGCCGGCGCCCGGCAGGCCAGGTACGGTGATGTAGAAATTGGGGAGGCTTGGTGCGGGGAGGCGGTGGTGGGGGGACAAGGGGCAGGGAGGATTGGCGGGGCGAGAGGCGGAGAAACCCAGGGCAGCAGGACAAGGGGAAGAGGAGGGGTGCCCGGGAGCCTGGGGCCCTTGGATGGAGAGAGGGATGAAGCAGGCCAGGTTTGGAACAAACAGGGGAAGGGGGAGGACGGCAGTGAGGAGGGGCGCTGGGAGGAGTAGTGAGGCTGAAGGCGAAAGGGAGAGTGTGTGTTTGGGGGAAGGGAAGCCCGAGCAGGTATGGAGACTGCAGCTCAGAAGGTAGCTACGAGGCCAGACTGGGGACCCCCGGGTGGGATTGAGGGGCGGGACTGGAAGCGGGAGGACAGGGTCCTCCCAAATCCTGGACTAGGAAGAAGGTGATTTGGGCCATCAGCAAGGGAGGGAGGTGAAGACCGTTACTGAGAGGTGGACGGAGGCCCAGGCCCAAAAGGACTGGAAAGGGGGGGACGCCAGGGAGTGGAGATAGATTGGTGGGTAAGATTTCAGATGCCCAACCCCGTGCCCCCACCTTCCTTCAGCATCCCCACCCAACCCTCATGATCACCTCCCCACCAAGCCTCAGGGCCCAAGAGGGGGTGGCAAGTCTGACCCTTCCCCAGTAGTGTGCCATATATGCAGGTAGGCCCCGGACATAACTCCTTGTCTGTAGGTGTGTCCAGTTCCGTGGCAGATTTGTGTGTGTCTGGAGGTATGTGTGTCTGTGGGTGTGTCGGTGGGTGTTTATGTCTGTGTGTGTTTGCTGCCCCGAGGATTGTGTTTACCTATGCCCTTCTATGAGTCTGGCCCTCTGTTGTAGCTCTGGGTCTGTGGCTGGATGGTTCATTTGTCTGAATGTGTGTTTGTGTGAGCACAGAGTTGCTATATGTTTGTGGGGCCTATCTGAGTGGTGGGTCAGGCTGTATTTACACAGCATGGGAATCTGTGTCAATCTGATCTCTTGAGAGTATGTATGTGTGGCTCTGAACACCTTCATCAGGGTGTGTGGCTCTGGGTACACATATACTTCTGTATTTGTTTCCTGGGGTCCTAGAGGCTGTGTTGGGTTTTCTGTGCTTGTCTCTGTTTTCCTCTCTGAGGACCCGAGTCATGTCTCTGCTCCTTTTTTTTTTTTTTTTCTCTTTCATTCATTCCTGGCTCCCACCCCCACCCCCCACCAAGTGGATCCGGGACCCAGGGAGGGCCGCCCCCCGGGCCTGGTGGCGCTGAGCAGGGACCCCCAGCCCCCACCTCCTGCCCCACGACATGAACCTCCTCTACCGAAAAACCAAGCTGGAGTGGAGGCAGCACAAGGAAGAGGAGGCCAAGAGGAGGTAAGGCTAGGGCCCAGACTGCTTCCTTGCATGTCACAACTGTGCCTAGCCCGGTGGCTGGACACTTTTGTCATTAGTGAGATCTCTGATCTCAATTTCTGTACTCAGTTTTGCATAGCTGGAATTGCACATACCTGTCCTGACCCTGCTCCTGGCTCTGCTCCTGGCTCCTGCCCCTGTCCTGGCCTCCTGGGTGCTTCCAGCTCTGGAGCACCCTCTTGGCTCTTCCCATCCCCAAGGGTCCGAGTCATTCCTTCCTGACTCACCTCAGGCCTGTGGTCTTCTCCTTTCTGTCATCTGGGGGCTGGCTGCTGACTCTCCTGTCACCTGACCTTGGAAGGGGCGGGCTCCACTGCCCTCACAGGGTCCAGGGACAGGGTCATTCAAGAGCCTCAGAGAGCATCCCTCTCGACTCTCCCCTGCTGGGGAAAATGAGTGACCAAGGGACAGGGTTGTGTGTGTGATGGTGGGGAACGTGCAGGCTAGACCCTGCAGAAGAGCCAGGGCCAGGAACCTCCTTGCCCCCCACTCCTGCATCCTGGCTGGCCCTCTCTCCTTACCCTCTGGGGACCTAGGCCTGGCCTTTTCTACCCTGATTCCTTCTCCACTTCCCATTGACTGCACAGCCTCTTGGAGCCTGAGTCAGAGCCACCTCCCCGCTCCCTTCTCCCTCCTCACAACTGTGGAGTTTAATTCTTGTTGTTAATTAGATTAATCAGAGCGATCGCTGCTGCGATCTCTCCCTAATGAAGGGTTAGTAGACAGGGCCTTAATGAGAGCCCACCCCATGACAGCTCTCCCCTCTTCCCTGCCAGCCGCCTCCCCCTTCACTCATCCAGGAGCCCAGAGATAGTGAAAGGGAATGGGGGTGAGCGGAGGCTGACAGAGAGGACAGCATTGAGGGAGAGGGAGGAAGAGAGGGAGAAGGATCAGCCGGGGGAGGCTGCTCTGGCCATGCAGACAGCACACCCCGCATCTAGGAGAGGAGGCATGCGTGGGGGTGGAGGTCGCAGAAGCTGGACATGAGAAGAACCCAGAGGCCAAGTGTAGGCCAGGGTGAGCATGAGAGGAGCCTGGGACTTATGGTGGCAGGTGTGTCTGTCTGTCAAGTGAGCTGTTGCCTGGGTTTGAAATTTCCCTCCCTATACCTGACCATATGTTATATACCCAGGATAAGCCCAAGCTGGGGTCCAGCCCCGGGGACACTCCCCTGCACACATAGTTACCCCTCTTTGCTCATCCCTTCCCTCACTAGCCTTTTTTAAGCCTACAAATTCTGCCTGAAGCCCCTATACCTCTGTCTTAGACCTTCAGGTGTACCCCATTCCCACCCAGACTCCCTTCCTGCCCAAGAGGCCACAGAACTGCTGGTGCCTCCTGGGGTGAGGAGGGGAAGGCCCAGGCCTGAGATCTGAGGCCTGACTCTGCTCCATTGGAGTCTTCTCTCCCCAGCTCCGGTAAGGAGGTGGCCCCCGCAGGCCCGGCGGGGCCTGGGGCTGGCCCAGGACCTGGGGTCCGTGTGCGGGACATCGCCTCGCTACGCCGCTCCCTCAGGATGGGCTTCATGACGATGCCCGCCTCCCAGGAGCACACCCCCCACCCCTGCCGCAGCGCCATGGCCCCACGCTCCCTTTCCTGCCACTCAGTGGGCAGCATGGACAGTGTGGGGGGTGGGCCTGGTGGGGGCGGTGGTGGTCTCACAGAGGACAGTAGTGCCCGAAGACCCCCAGCCAAGCCCCGGAGACACCCCAGCACCAAGCTCAGTATGGCAGGATCAGGGGCAGAGATAACCCCCAGCAAGAAAGCAGGTGAGACACCCCCACTCTCCCCAAGGGGAGCTGGAAGATGGGAGGATCCATTCCCGGCCAGGGGAGGCCTCTGGGAGGGTTCATTCAGGGAAGAGCCTAGGAAGTGGAAGGTTCCATTTCCAAAAGGAATGAGGGGTTTCGTTTGGATGGACCTGAGATGAACCATTCAAGGGTGGGGGACACACCCCCAAAAGTTTGCTTTTGAGAAAGGAGTGGTGGTCTGGGAGGGTGCAGGGGTGGGAGGGAATTTAGGGTAGGAGCTGTGCATTCTGGGGCATGCATCAGAGATTGAGAGCTGCCTGGTAGAAAAGGAACCTACAAGGACTGAAGTAGAGGGATGTGAGAAAAAAGAAGAGGCAGATCTGTCCTTGCAGGTGGGTCAAGAGGTCATAAAGAATTGCCCCATTTACTTCCTCCATAGAACTCACAGTTTAGCGGGGGACAGTGGCTCACACCTGTAATCCCAGTGGCACAGGAGGCTGAGGCAGAAGGATTGAAAGTTCAAAGCCAGCCTCAGCAACTTAGCAAAGTCCTCAGCGATTTATTTAGCAAGACCCTGTCTCAAAATAAAAAGGGCTGGGGATGTGGCTCAGTGGTTAAGCGTCCCTAGGTTCAATTCCTCATACCAAAGGGGGAAAAAAGAATAATAAGAAAAAAACCCAGTTTATTTGTCATTTTCCCATCCTGTTCAGGCTCACAGAAGCCAACCCCAGAAGGCCGAGAGTCCAGCCGGAAGGTTCCTCCACAGAAGCCCAGGCGGAGCCCCAACACCCAGCTCTCTGTCTCCTTCGATGAGTCCTGCCCTGCAGCCCCTTCTCCTCGAGGGGGGAACCTGCCCCTTCAGCGCCTCAGTAGGGGGTCCCGAGTAACTGGGGACCCTGATGTGGGTGCCCAGGAAGAAGAGCCCGTGTACATTGAGATGGTGGGGGATGTCTTCAGGGGAGGAGGACGAAGTGGAGGGGGCCTGACAGGGCCCCCTCTTGGGGGTGGGGGCCCAACCCCTCCAGCTGGTGCCGACTCGGACTCCGAAGAGAGTGAGGCTATCTATGAGGAGATGAAGTACCCGCTGCCGGAAGAGGCCGGGGAAGGCCGGTCCAGCGGGGCCCCTGCATTGACAGCAACCTCCCCTCCACACCAGCCTCATGCCCTTCAGCCCCACTCCCACCGACGTCCAGCCTCGGCCCTCCCAGGCAGGAGGGATGGGACACCCACCAAGACCACTCCTTGTGAAATCCCCCCACCTTTCCCCAACCTCCTTCAGCACCGTCCTCCACTCCTGGCCTTCCCCCAAGCCAAGTCTGCTTCCCGAACCCCTGGCGATGGGGTCTCGAGGCTACCGGTCCTCTGCCACTCCAAGGAGCCAGCAGGTTCCACCCCAGCTCCCCAAGTGCCTGCACGAGAGCGGGAGACGCCTCCCCCGCCGCCTCCACCTCCTGCTGCCAACCTTCTGCTGCTGGGACCATCAGGCCGAGCCCGGAGCCACTCAACACCGTTGCCACCCCAGGGCTCTGGCCAGCCCCGGGGGGAGCGGGAGCTCCCCAACTCCCACAGCATGATCTGCCCCAAGGCAGTGGGGGTGCCGGCAGCCCCCCCTACCCCGGCTGCCTTGCTCCCCGGCCCCCCCAAGGACAAGGCTGTGTCTTACACCATGGTGTACTCAGCAGTCAAGGTGACCACACACTCTGTTCTGCCAGCTGGTCCACCCCTGGGTGTTGGGGAGCCAAAGACGGAAAAGGAGATCTCAGTTCTCCATGGGATGCTGTGCACCAGCTCGAGGCCCCCTGTGCCAGGGAAATCCAGCCCCCACAGCGGGGCTATGGGCGCAGCAGCTGGGGTCCTCCACCACCGTGGCTGCCTGGCCTCCCCCCACAGCCTTCCGGACCCAACTGCAGGCCCCCTGACCCCTCTCTGGACCTACCCAGCTGCAGCAGCTGGGCTCAAGAGACCCCCTGCCTATGAGAGCCTCAAGGCTGGGGGGGTGCTGAATAAGGGCTGTGGAATGGGGGCTCCATCCCCCATGGTCAAGATTCAGCTGCAGGAGCAAGGGACCGATGGGGGTGCCTTTGCCAGCATCTCCTGCGCCCATGTCATCACCAGTGCAGGGACACCAGAGGAGGAAGAAGAGGAGATGGGCACCACAACGTTTGGGGCAGGCTGGGCTCTGCAGAGGAAGGTCCTATATGGAGGGAGAAAGGCAAAGGAGTTGGACAGTGAGTGAGGAAGTGGGGAATGGGGTGTGGGGGGCTAGGGACGTTGGTGATGGTCTGGGGGATATGTTGGAGAGGTTATTTGGAAGCCTCAGCCCATTGTCCTGCCCTGTGTTTCCTGGAAGACTCTTCCAGGGAAAGCGGTGGGCAGCAGAATGAAAGGATGGGTCCCTGTGTGTGTGCTGGAGGGACAGGAAGATCTGGGATAGGGAACGGGTAGCATGGGGCCCCATCCTGCTCCACTCCTGCCCCTCCCTTCCCTGGGCTGCAGGGGTGTGTGTTTGTGAGTGTGCGCACACTAGGAGCTAAACACAGCTGCCTCCCAGCTATTACCATGGCAACCTATCCAGACAGGAGGGAGAGGAGAAGGAGGCCTCTACCGTTGCCTGGCAACGCAATGCTCTGCCAGGCCTACTCTCACAGATGAGCTTAGTTCACATGCAGCCCTTCCCCCTGTTGCCCCTACCCCACCCCACTCCTTGGGCTCCAGATTTGGGATTCTACCCCTACCGGAGAGCAGTACTCCTGGTCTCCAGGTGGTTATTCTGGCTCTACCTGGGGCTGGAGGGGCCCAGAAGCTAAAGCTAGGCTAGAAAAGACCTCTCTGACCAAAGAAAAGTGTTTGGAAGCAGTAAATATATATCATTTTCACCCCAGGAGCTGGTACCAATGAGTGGAAAGGGTGGTGGCAGTACTGGGTCCCTCCTGGGAGTGTGAGTAAGGGAAGGTGAGATGTAGGGTCCCTCATCCCTTCTGTGATTTGCAAGGAGGACATCCATGCTGACTGTGCGTGCCTGTGGGTACAGAAAGACCTCTCCCTGTGCAGGCACTGAGCTCTCCTTGTCATCCCAGCAGAGGTCGAGGATGGTGCCCGAGCCTGGAATGGCAGTACAGAGGGTCCAGGCAAGGTGGAGCGTGAGGACAGGGGCGCTATGGCATCAGGGATCCCTGTGAGGAGCCAGGGGGCAGAGGGCCTGCTGGCCAGGATCCACCACGATCGAGGAGGCCGAACGGCGCTGCCCATACCCTGCCAGACCTTCCCTGCCTGCCATCGAAATGGAGGTAACACTCTGCCCACCTATCCCTACAGAGATTAGGGGTGGGGCTGATAGAATTTCCCAGGGTTCGGCCTAGCCGATCCTCAGACTGTCAACTGTTCATGTCCATGTCTGGGCCCATAAGTCTTAACACCATGACTTCGTCCCCTTCTTTCCTCTGATGAGGTAGGAGCAGGCTGGCCAGGGCCTCCTCAGGGAATTGGGTTGGGGGGCACCTAGAGGCTCTCACCTGAATTTTGTCCACCTCAGACTTCACAGGAGGCTACCGCCTGGGGCGCTCCGCCTCCACCTCCGGAGTCCGGCAGGCCGCGCTCCACACCCCTCGGCCCTGCAGCCAGCCCAGGGATGCCCTGAGCCAGGTGAGTCTTGGCTTTTCTTATCTGTGAAGGAGCTACTATGGAAACAAAGGCTCCAAAGGGGTCAGACAGGCTGGGGCCCAGGGATAGCACATTAAGGGTGAGGAGGTCCGAGGAGGCTCTGGCTCCCAAGATGGGGCCGCTTAAGATGGGCAGCAAGGCAGGACCCTGCTTGGACATCATTCAGAACCACCAGAAGTTGAAGGTGCACCTTTGGGTGATTTAGAGAAAGGACCCTCTGGGAGGACCACTTAGAAAAATGCATATTGGGGGAGACAGTTTGTAAAAGGGGCCATTACTCAGGGTCAACCAAGCCCAGCCTGGCACCAGGGCTGGATAAAGGGGGCCGGGGTTGGATTTCTGCCCCCAGCAGCTCCACCGCCAGCAGGAGTCACAGAGGACTGGAGCGGGGCTTGTTTCTAGGGAAATGTGTCGGTCTGGGCCTGAAGTCCTTGACAACGCCCAAATCTTTTTTCCTTTCTCCCGGGTTGCCCGAGCAGACCCACCCCCCGCTGCCGCTGCCGCTGCCGCTGCCGCTGCCACCCCAGCCAGCCCGCGAGCGCGACGGCAAGCTCCTGGAGGTGATCGAGCGCAAACGCTGCGTGTGCAAGGAGATCAAGGCGCGCCACCGCCCTGACCGCGGCCTCTGCAAGCAGGAGAGCATGCCCATCCTACCCAGCTGGAGGCGGGGTCCCGAACCCCGCAAGTCAGGCACCCCACCCTGCCGCCGGCAGCACACGGTCCTCTGGGACACGGCCATCTGAGGAGGGCGGGGCAGCGGGGGCATCTTCACTGGGAGGGGGCAGAGCCCGCCAGGCTCTCCTGGGAGGCTTGCCTTGAGAGACGGAAGGACTAGGTGAGAGCGCCAGGGAGGACCCCGGCCCTCCACCCTAGTCCCCAGAGACGCGGAGCCTGCCAGGCCCATCGGGGCGTAGGGTGCCAGCAGCACCCCAAGAAACTTGGGGGAGGAGAGTTTGCTCGTTGTTGAGGGTCTAAGCACGGTAGACCCCTCCTCCTGAGAGGGCAAAGGCCAAGGCATAGGGCGGCATGGGGAAGGATGGAAGGGGTCAGCGCTAGAAGGGGGTGGGTCAAACGGAAGAGAAAGATTAGAACCAGCGGGAGGGCTCTTACTGAGAGCCGGGAGTCGGGGAGGGGGTATTTATTTGTTATTTATTTTAGTCTGGAGGGCAATTCTGGGTCCTTCTGACCTACTCCTGTGCAGGGAGAGGAGAATGGAGGTCAAGTTTGCACTCTCCCCAATGCCAATGCCTAAAGGCCCACCGTCCATGCCCACCCCAAAGTGCGGGATGGGTCCGCTTGGGGAGCCAAATGAGAGAAGGGAGGGGCTCGAGCGAGCTGAGGACCTCGGACTATTTACAGTATTTACAATTTTGCCAGAATTTGGTAGTGAGCGTGGCCTGCTCTGAAACAGGCATCTTATTTAGTTCTGGGTTGAGGGTCTAGTGCCAGGGATGGGCGGGATGATGGGGATGGAGGGAGATTTTAGTGGGTGGGGGGTGGGCAGGGTATTTATTTAAATTAAAAAACAAAACAGAAGAGCTGTCAGGAACTTTTTTTTAATTCCTTTCTTTTCAGAATAATATATTAAAAGACTAATGATCCTAGAGCTGACTGCTTATATTTCCCAGTGTGCTCTACCTTTTTACACTTGCTTCTTCCTGGGGTCCTTCGGCCTGCTGGTGGGTGGGAGTGGGAGGTTGTGCAAGGAGTGGTGAGCAGCTGTGGCCAATCACAGGGAGAAGCAGAGTTTGATGTAAGTCTGGGAATTAAGTCCTGCAGTAGATTATTAAGCATTTATTGAGCATCTGATGTGTTCTCAGTAATGCACTGATGCATAAGGATCATTCAGATGTGAAGTTTGCCCTCAACATCTTGTAGTCAGGGAGAGGACCCCACCCCCAGACTACAGTAGCATGCTGCAGGAGTAGGAAATGAAGAGGGCTGGAATCATCCCAGAAGGCATCCTAGAAAATGGACCTCAAAGGACTGGCAAGAGGGCTGAGTCTGTTGTGTGGTGGTGGAGCATAGGGTGCAGGAGGCTCTGGGTTCCATCCTCAGCATCACAAAAATAAAGAAAGGGCAAGTAAGGTTTGGTACAGAAAGAAGAAGGAAAAACCTAGAGGTCACAGCATGATTATTAGTGAACGGAAGATGGGGCAAGAAGTGTACATCCAGCTACGATGAAGTTCATTCCAAAAGATCAGCCTCAAAGCAAGATGCTCAGGAAGGAATCCAGAGGCATCCTGGTGGGAGGCAGGGAGGAAGAGAAGTGGAGGTGTCTGGGAAGTGAAGGACAAGGAACGGTTACAAGATGCAACTGAAGGAAAGCATCCTTGCGATGGTGTCGGAGTGGAATCAGTCCCATGTGAAGCTCAAGTCAAGCTGCAGAATTAGGGAAATAACAGTGAACAAGGAGCTTGAGAGGGACTTTGAGGGAAGGACCTTGAATGTGAAGCAGTGGTGAATATTTCCAGCTGAAAGTTTTCTTACCAATTAGAACAGAGCTTCCATATGTCGTAGATGATGCAAGCAATGTCTTCAGGTGGTATAAAGGACACTTTTTAAAACTTTTAAGTTTTGTGCTTATTTTAGTCATGAAAAAATCACAGTCGGTAGGTTAGATACTTGTAATTTCATTGCACAAGTAAAGGATGAATTAAATAACTAACTAGTTAGTTAGTTAATTAATTTTGAGGTGGTGTCTCACTATGTTGCCCAGGTTAGTCTCCAACTCCTGGGTTATGGTGAGCTGAACTTCAGCCTCCTAACTGGATCTATAGTCAAGTACCACTGTGCACAGGTCAAATATAGTTTTTTTTTTTTGTTGTTGTTGTTGTTGTTTTATATTTATTTTATTTTGGTACTGGGGATGGAACTTGGGGCACTCAGCTACTGAGCCACATCCCCAGCCCTTTTTTTGTATTTTATTTAGAGACAGGGTCTCACTGAGTTGCTTAGCACCTCGCTGTTGCTAAGGCTGGCTTTGAACTCATGATCCTCCTGTCTCAGCCTCCTGAGTTGATGGGATTACAGGTGTGTGCCATTGCACCCAGCTCAAATATAGTTTTAATTAAGTTGTTAAAGAAAATGACTAAGCAAATAAATAATGATGCAGGCATTATAAAGAACATGAAACATGATGACAATGATTTTGAAATTTAGTTAGAGGTGAATTGATAATAGTTTGGGAGACAGCACAAGACTGTGGACCTTGGGAGCATCAACAGAGAAATCATACTCAAGGCCAACACCAGTGAGCTCTGTAAGGAAGGTGGGTGGCAAGAATGAGAAGAAACAAATGTCAGCAAGCATTGGCTTTTTTACAGTTAATCAGAAAATTAATGGAAGGGGGAAATCCCATTCATAAGAGCAACAATAACTATAAAAAAATCTAGGGATAACTTTATAAATGATAGGACTTATATTGGATCAATCAATTAAAGTCTTTTGAGTCAGTTAAAAGAGAAAAATTGAGGGGCTTGGATTGTGGCTCAGTGGTAGAGTGCTTGCCTAGCATGTATGAGCTTGGTTTGATCTCAGCACCACATATAAATAAATAAATAAATAAATAAAAATTTTTATCAACAACTGATAAAAATATTTTTTAAAAAGAGAAAAATTGAGCTGAGGATGTAGCTCAGTGGTAGAGCACCTGCTTAGCATGCACAAGGTTCTGGATGATCCCCAGCACCTCAAAAAGGAAAAATAATAGTCTTCTATCAAAAGGAAGACTTGAATAAGCAAAAAATAATAACTTGTTCCTAGATAAGAAGACTCTGTAAAAAATATCAATTTTCCCATAAATTCAATGCAGTCTCTAAATCTCAAAAGGACTATTTGAGAAACTTGATAAAATAATTTGAAAGTTCATCCAGAATGATGAGAAAACCCAGAACATTCTGAAACAGGAGAGTATGGGACAACCTGCCCTACCAAGTACTAAAACATAAAATCAGAGCATGCTGGTCCTAGCACAGGACTTGCATAACCGATTAGAACAAATAGTCCGGAAATAACCCCAGAATACTGATGGGAATTTAGCACTTATATGGTAAAGGTAGTATTGTAAATCAGTTGGGAAAGTGTTAGTCAATAATTGTTTCCTGAACAATTAACCAGTTAATAGGGGTGGTTTTGAAAGTTACATCTCTATTTCATTGATTAATGCCAAAAATGCAAATGTAAAACAAAACATTAGGATGCAGCTCAGTGATAGAGTGCTTGTGTGAGGCCCTGGGTTTGATTTATTGAAAAAATAAATAAATGTTATATAAACAAATATTTTATATATATATATATATATATATATATATATATATATATATATATAT